ATTTCACTCAATACGATATCTTAGAGTTTGAGTTCTGTCCATTTAAATATAAGTAGTGGAGTTTCATTCTTTTTATGCCAGAATAATATTCAGGAACTTAAAAATCGCAAATCCTGTCTTTTTTATCACTTTTCTTGTTTCCTGTTCTAGCTTCTTACAGTTCTAGATGTAATAAAAGTTGATCTAATTCCTTTTGTGAGCAAAGTAATTGTTTGAGGGAGAAACATTCATGATCTCAGGAGTGAGAGTGTTAACAAAGATCCCCTTGAACTCCCTACCTGAGGTCATACATGTTTCCTCTTCAAAGAACTTTTCTTTCTGGTTTGGCCATAAGCTATCAATGCTAATTAGTCAATCATGAACTGTTCTTGGTGTTATCTCTGAACTCAAACTTTAGAGAGTCCTGTGAGGGTGAGAAATTCTCAGCGTCTCCAGCCAAGTAATTAGTGATGCAACTGAAGAATGGCCTTCCACACAGGGAACAGGTGTCATTGAATATAGGAAGGTGGCACCTGATCCCAAGTAGGATTTGTGCTACGAGTGTCTGTTAAACTGATGCAGAAGAGGATTATTGCTTGGGAGAGAAAAGCATACCAAAGGGTGGAAAGGCCAGCCTGATGTTTAAAGACCATGATCATGCTCCACCTCCATGGAATATGTTTAATCCTGTTGAGTGGGGGGATAAGGAAATTCAAGGCCCGAAAAGTACTGTATCAGAGCTTGACATGGTTGTGATGCAGACAATGTTTGAGGACTCCAAGGAACAGGACATCTTAAGTATTTGCATAGAAATATTTTTCATACAAATTTGTGACCTTGGAGAATCAGGTTACAAATATAAATCAGAAAAATATTAATAACATTCTATCCTGCACATCCTTGGATGATTAAATGTTCAGTTTGAAATATGCCCCTTACATTGCACCTCTATTTTCCAAAACCATTATCAGCCATCTTCCCTGCCACATAACTCCTCTGGAGACACACAGACATATGTCATTTCACTATTACCCAGTGTCCTCTCTTTACCATCACATATGATTATATAAATTAGTGCTCCACAATTGTTCCGGCTCCACAACCTACAGGAAAATGTGGCAGTATTAAGCATGACATGCTGGCATCTGTGTTCTTTAAAATAATCAGTGATTGGTGCACTTTCTGAATTAGCTTTTTATGCTGGAAGTGACAGCTGAGCAAAGTCCCTGATATGTGAGTTCCTGCCACCCTGTTATCCTCCCAAAGCTTTAATTGCTTCTTGCTCACTGACATCTCCCACCTTCCCACCAGTCTTTGGGCCTGGCAGAGCCTCACCATCTGCTCATGTGACACCAACATTATGGCCTCCCTTCATGCATCCCTAAAAGGGGCTGCGGAAGATAACAGAGATGACCAGCACGCCAGCTGGCACCAGTGACACAAACCTAGACAGTGATGAATCATGGCTCAGGACAGGGAACCAGCGGGGCATCCACGGAGGCTAATCAAGTAGCATCATCAGCACAGTGGGGCAGATCTCTGTGTCCATGAATGTAGGCTCAAACTGTTTTTGTTCTACGCATGCAACTTTTTTGCCTACTGCCTACAATGTTGTGACAAGAGAATGTTCAATAGGCAACTAGAAATCAAGAACTGGACTGTTCTATTTTTACTGGAAATGGAAGGGAATGTGGCACTTAAAGAATTTGAACGTTACTTGAAAATGAGAGAGAGGCATTTCTGGCTGTTTAGGGAAAGAGTCAAAGCAACCTGCTTTGTCCTGGTGTGTCAGTTCAGTCCCCTAAGGTGCTGAAGCTCTTCTGCAACTTCTGCATCCTTTAGGGTTGCAAGATTTTCTTAGGTCCTGCAAGTGGTTGCATTTATTCATTCAGGTTTCTCCATGTTGCCTTCAGAATTAAATCAGTCAAGCAGCAATTCAAGATCTATTCATAGATATTAAATTTGGACATGCAACATTACTCTTACAGTTTTATATTTGCTGTTAAGATCTGTTTTTAAGTTTTTTCTACTGATTTCACATTGACTCCTTCATTTTTTTTTAAGATTGATTTTTATTGGAAAGTTAGATATACAGAGAGAAGGCAAGACAGAGAAAGATCTTCAAACCATTGACTCACTCCCCAAGCAACTGTGATGGCTAGAGTGGAGCTAATCCAAAATCAGGAGCTTCTTCCTGCACTCTCAAGCAGGTGCAGGGTCCCAAGGCTTTGAGCCATCCTTGACTGCCATCCCAGGTCACAAGCAGGGAGCTGGATGGGAAGAGGGGCTGCCGGAATTAGAACCGGTGCCCATATGAGATCCTGATGCATTCAAGGCAAGGTCTTTAGCTGCTCTACATCTATCTTTTATGCAACTTAATTCCGCCTGCACCTTGTGCTTTTGGGAAGAGAAGTAATAACACAAAGGTACATAGTATAATACAATACCTTTCCTCAAGAGGGGAAGCTAGACTCCATTTTTGGCTTTTGCTACAGTTTGATACAAAAAAATAAAATCCCCACCAGTTCTGCCTATTCCCCAAGAAGGTATCTCCTGCTGAAGGTAGGAGAGAGGGGGCAAGGTTTCCAGCCACATAAATGATACACAAAATGACAGGTCAGCTATGCAGAGGACAGCAGTGACTCCAAAGGCAAATTCAAAATCCTGGTGTGATTTTATTTCCATGATATTCTACTTAGCTGGCTGGATTTCTTCCCACCAGGTCAACGCAATTGATTGGTCAAGAACAAAGGAAATAAACACTTTATTTTGGCTTTACTATCTGCAGGCAAAACCATCTTTAGCAGTACAGCATTAGCCCTTTCAGTCTTACAGGAAATAGCACTATTTAGGACTCTTAGTACTTTTCCTAAGCAAAAAGAGTTCAGAGAATAGGGAAGGGCAGCATGCACATTGCTGATTTGTGAGTTGAGTCCCCCAAGGCTCCATGCGTTAAAGAAGAATGGGGAGGAAATGTCAGTACAAGGGTGGTGACTTAATTTAGCCATAATGTTTAGAGCTGTGGCCTCTAGAAAGACATTATGGTTAGAAAAAGTGAAGTGGTGCCCCTGTGAGTGAACCCTAGTGTTTTTACAAGGAGGAAAGAGGACCAACATATGTGCTGAGACCCTAGCCACTGAATGCTCTGAAGGGATTCAGAAGTGTGCCAGTGAGACCCCTAGACTTGCATCTGTAGAAGCATGAGCCAAAGTGAACCTCTTTCCTTTATAAAGAGGCCTGCCTCTTTATTACAAGAAACAGATTACATAATAACTACATATGATATCAGTGAATAGCTGCAGGCCTGGAAAGACACAAAACAGTATCCAAAGATTGGTGGTTGGTCAGGAATTTGTGACAGGGGAGGCATTGTGGTACACTAGACAGAAATGCCAGGCCAGAAACATTTCCTGTACAAGGCATATTAATGGATAGGGTGACCTGTGACCTACTTCTAATGAAAGCCTGACCATCCTGCACCCAGCAGAGAACTTTATCCTTAAAGATCCTTATAGGGGATACTTGAGAGTTTATGCTTGACACACATTGCAACTGGGACATGTGAAAGTTTCCTGAGGCATCGGAAGAGTGCTGATCTAGATCACTTAGAGAAAATAGTACTTTCTGTCATGATGGATAGGAAGTGCAGAGGTGTTCTTCTGTAAGTGGAGGCTGGTTCCAGAGCAGGTACAGTAATGAGGTTGTGCTGACTTTGAGCTACCATGCCTCCTCACATCTCTTCTGAGTAGGCTTAAGTTTGGATTCCCTCTTCCAGATCATTTTTTGGTTTTGTCCAGGAGATGAGAAAATGTGAGTTTCTGACACTTGGACTAACCAGCCTTGTCATCTAAGGTTTGTCATTCCTATACTGGTAATTAAAAAATGGTAGATAGCATAAGCCCTGAAAATACTGTAGTTTTTTCCTCCCTGCCCTCTATATAAGTATGGCTATTTAAAAAAAAAGTTCATAAAGATTTTTTTCAGGTTCAGGATTTTTTCCCCATAATGACGACTTTGGTACTTGTAAACAACTTAGCATTAAAAGTATTTTTCCAATTTAATATCCCTACTTTTGCTAATCCAGGCACCTGTTTCATCTTCCCATGGTGGTCCAGTCCACTTCTATGCCTCATCTGTGAAATAAAGGTTTTGGATTGAAAGAACTTCATGGTGATAAGGAAGAAATCTTGAAGCCCTGGTTTTTATCTATCTTTGTCACCAGCTGATCTTGACATTTTTGTGTTTCTCAAATATGAATAAGAAAATCACGGCTGCATTTGCTTACCTCCTCAACTCCGTATAGCTAATAAAAATCTTAAAAGACTATTAAATTATTTAAGCCTTAGTAAAAAATCTGTGGTATGAGTCAAAGCAAAAGGATTACTTATTTTGTCACGTCTAAATCTTATGAAAGATGTGTCTATTATAGCAATATCAGCAGATTTTAGGTTACAGAAATAAAGCACTATGGAAAATGATAGTGATGGCCATTCTTACAGAACACCAACCAGGAATTTAAGGTGTGGTTCTCAACACTTCCTCAACCTTTCTAGGCTTTAGCTTTCTTGTGCATTCACTCATGATTCACTTATTCTAATAACCTGTAAGGTAAGTCTCCCTCTGAGATCTTATGAGACTTTTCATGATCAGATCTCACATCTCTGTAACCAACACATCTACCACTGTCCTTTGATATTGCACCTCTATTCTGAATGAAGATTTATTTTTCTCTTGGTTTCCATGCCTCTGCTTGGAGTGTAGCTGCAGAATTTGGTATGTCTACAAGTCTGGCTGTGATTGGCCTTTCAGATGGAAGCTGCTTGTTATTGTGCTGGAGGGTTTTCATAGCAGATGTTAGCAGGCAGGCAAGAAAGCTCACAGCCCAGAATATACTGAGCCACGCAGGCATGCATTCATCAGGAGCAGGAGAGCTGCTGGGTGATGGAGGGAGCGAGCTCTGAGGGGTGAGTACTATTCCGAAGCCCTGCTAATGTCTCTGTATGGCCATGCTGTATTTTCAGCTTGTCATCATGGCTGGGACAGTGCTGCTTGCCTACTACTTCGAATGCACTGACACTTTTCAGGTGCATATCCAAGGATTCTTCTGTCAAGATGGAGACCTAATGAAGCCTTACCCAGGAACAGAGGACGAAAGCTTCATCACCCCTCTGGTGCTCTACTGTGTGCTGGCCGCCACACCGACCGCTATTGTAAGTCCTGAAGCAGAGCCTTCTTTATGGCTCTGTTTCCAACCAATATCTCCTGTCTGTTTTTTCTCCTCTTCCCTCCATTCCTGGGCAAACACCAGGACAGTGTTAGTGTTCAGTCACAAGCTTCCCATGAGATCTCACAAGTTCTTGTCTTTTAGAGGTGGCACTTGCTTTGGGCATCTGAATTAATACATTTAGAAAATTGGGTGACCTCATTGCTCTCAATTTTTCTCTTGTTGTTTCTGGGGAAAGAGGAGAGACAAAGGGGGAAGCCATTCATAACTTTCCACATGTCCCAGTACCCATGGATGAGGAGCCCTCATATCAACCCAGAGTCTCAATGTGTACATATTCTGAGGGTTCTGCCCAAGTGGTTTGAAAATTTTTGATGCCAATTTCACCCTCTCAATGTGTATTGACTCCATTCACTGGAACTTTTTTGCTGCCATTGTTTGGGGTAGTTTTCCAGTAAGTTCTGTTTTTCTTCTGCTACAGCACCAAATGAACTGCCATATTCTCCTTTTACAACAGGGCCTGTGTCCACTGCTCCACCTTTTTCATTATGTAGAAGATGTTCTTGCAGGCAAGTCCAAGGACCCAGGCCAAGCATCCCAAACCCAACACCCACCTAGTAGGCAGGCCCCAGGACCTGGGCTAGGCACATGAGTCCTGCCAGATGGCCCCAAAATCTGGGCAAGACAACCCATGCCTCACCAGTTCCCCTATCCCTGGGGCTCAGAAATCTTGCCCCCATCATGCAGGTGGACCCCAGGACCTGAGCCAATCTACCTGAGCCCTGTCAGATTTCCCCATCCCTGGGACACACGAACCTGGCCCCCACTGGGCCCAGGCTGGCATGACGCACTTCACCTCAGCATTGATGATCTTATTGCACAGCCTGGCCTAGTTTAGTCTTTCCCTTGTTCCAGCTCCTGCTGGTGGATGCTGCAGCCTATCCCAGCCCGATTACTGTCCTGGTCCTAATGTGAACTGGCTTGTGTTGCAGCCTGATCTGGCTCCTCCTGCCCCCTGTCCTGGTCTTGGATCTACCAGTGGGTGTTATGTGCTGGCCCAGACTGGTCTGTCCCCAGACCTCACCCACATATATGCCAGCAGGTAATATGACCTGGCATGGTCCAGGCTGCTCCTTGCCTTGCTTCTTGTGCTCACCTGCAGAGACTGCATCCCAATGAAGGAGTTTCCCAAGCTCCTCCATCGAGTCTCCTCCCAGTGGCAGTTCTCCTGCACACCAGTGGATCGTTGGCCCAAGTTGATTTTGTCTACCTCCTGCCCTACCAAGAACCATGAGGGTACACCACTGAGCGGCCAAAGGGGCTGCCTTCGGCCGGGCTGGCCTTTTGCGGGGGAGCCACAAGGCCTGGCTACAGGTACCGGAGCAGGTTAAAAAAAATTAAACATGGGTGAATGTCATATCAACAGGAATGATCGAATTTATATATAACATGTTAAACAGCTGCAGTGTGCCCTTGAACAAATGTGCTGTGGGTTGTGTGTGTGCAGAATAGACTCTGCATGAAAGTTCTGCCACTCAGTCTCGGCTGAGAGTGGTGCAGAAGCCCCCAGCTGGAATTCCCCATGGTTCTGATGGCACTTACAGAGAGGACAGGTGTGAGAAATCCCTTGACTGGGTTTGCTGGGATTCTCTCTTGCTGGTTCTGTTGAAGTTACCCCTACAATTTAACTTCTCACTTTTCATTTGTTTCATCTATTGGGGGCAAAAAAAAAATGGCCAGTTGTCCAGGGAGACTGCTTTAAGAGCATTCAATTGACAGACCTATGGTCTCTGGTCCAGTGAGTCAGCATTTAGACATTCCAACTTCTGTTTAACTGATTTTGCAAGAGTTTTATGCTAAACATTTCTGTGTACAAATGTGATAAAGGCCAGATTAACAGATTTTGTATGAATAAATATGCATAAGCTCCTACAAATCTACCTTTTAAATTCTTATATTTAAATATTGAGAAATTATATAGACATAGTAAGTCATAATACTTTAAGTTCAGTTAAATCATTGATCCAGGCTCAACAAAGTCCTCATTTAAATGGCAATATGCTGCTGTAGAAACTAAAGTCAGCACTGAAAAGCTGCCCCGTGAGAAAGTGCAGTGGTTAAGAACACAAGCTTAGCATTCCCGCATTCCCACATGTCTAGCCCAGACAAAGTGAGGATAATTGCCTGCCTGTGTCTGGAGTTGGTGCACCTGGCCTGTGCTGAAGGCAGGCCACAGGGCAATAAGGAACACAGCCAGAAACCAACCACCTTCAGTAGAAGACAAATTCCACTGAGAAACCTTGTAAGACCTTGCCTGCCTGGTTCTAGGGAGGTGTGCCCTCATGCCAGAGGGAAGTAAACTCTAACCTCTTGCCTTGACCTTACCCTATATCCCTTATTCCCACCACCCTGGGAATTGAAAAAAAAATGTCCTTTTATGTGCTTTGCAAAGCAGCAATTCTTGCCATGATCTGACCTCTTGGGGGTTTTGGTGGGTTGACCTGGAAACAATAGACTTGGACTGGAGCTGGATCCTAGCTTATTCCTGCATCCTTGGTCCATCATTGCCCTAGGTATACAGATGTGCTTTTAGCATGTAGTGTTGCCTACCCCATACTGTCCTCCCTTCCTCCTCTGCAGATCAAGGGAACAGCACGTATCAATGCCTATTTTTCCTTTAATTACTTTGTGTAACTTTTGCACTTAAAAACACTCAGATTATGGGCAGAAAATTAGAACTGGAAAACAATAGAAGTATCAACAAAAATCAGAGGCCCATTCCTTGAGAAGCAATATATCTATCCCTCTTGGCTAGGAGGGAAGAATTAAGGGGGAGAAATATGTAAGTCAAAATATAAGGGGACTTTCAAAGGTTTATGGAAAATAAATAAAATAAACCTCAAAGATAATATACATTTTCCATAAACATTTTAAACCTCTAAAATCCATCTTATTTTACCATTCTATGCCAATAAATGTTTATAAATCAAGACAACTTCTAATATACTGTAAACATAATTTGCTGATAATACCTTAATGATGTATAAAGCTGACTAAATGAATGGCAATAGAATAACATTCTAAGCATGTTTAAAATTCCTCTCAGTACTAGGGAAACATAACTATATAAAATATCCTAGAGGCTAAAAATAAATCGAAATCTTTTATGTATAAGAACAAGAAAAGCACAGAGTTTGAACACTTCTGTGAGTATTTGTCAGTTTTCTAAGTGTCCCCAGAAATAACAGCAAAGTCTGTTAGGAATACTGATACAAACATATAGAAAAGGTGGATTTGTTCTATGCAAAATTTATATCAAAAGAAAGGTAAAGAAAGACTACACAAAAATATTTGCAGCCTTAATGCAAAAAAGATGGGTTTCCCAAAGCAAAATCAAAAGGACAAGAGATAGTTCATAAAACAGGCTGTTTATACGGAATGGAAGAAGCCTGAGCCCTTCATCGTGGGACCGAGGGCCATTGGAACAACAGACAGGAACTCTGAGAGGTTCTCAGAACCAGAACAACAGTAAACCTCCTTCAGAATTGGGGAGAGGAGCTTTCTCTGGCCCTTGCTTGGTTCCAGCTTTGGGTCCTCACCCTTTCTGCAATGACCATTGGGGTTGCTCCAGAGCGGCACCCCCTCCAAACACACAAGTTAGAATAGATAGGCAGAGAACAAAAAGGAAGGCCTGATCAGCCTCACCAAGGTATTGAGAATTTCTCTCACACCCCTCCTAAACTGTCTCGCACCTCAATTGTTGAAATGTCGTCAAAGTAGTCACCGGATGTGGTTAAGAACTTGCTTACTCAATACTATGTCAATTAGTTCCACAAAATTGTATGTTGTTGCTGATGTTGTGTTTGGGCTTGTAACTCCAGCAGGATTTTACTTTGTTGGCTCTAACTTTGGACCAGAGAGGGTCTCCCCAAGAAGTTGTTGAACTTATCTGGACGATGAGATGCTGGACTCTATGCTAGGTATATGCTCACAGGGAAGGAATCTCAACTGAACTTGAACTGTAGATACGCAACAAGATACGCAAATCCACCATGGAGGGAAGAGAGGGGAGAATTCCAGTACCTAAAAAGCTGTATCACATAATGCAATGTAATAAATTGGGGAAAAAAACAGGCTGTTTATGACCATTTCTAAATTCGTCAACAAAGAAAATAAACTTGGCAACTGCTTTCAGGGAGAGAGCACCAGCTGTCAAAGGGACAGACTTTCATGCGATTCTAGTAAAAGTATAAGCTGAAATTCTTCCTGAAGAACATCTCATCCGAGACATATTAAGAACTTTATATGTTTCAGAAACAGTCATTAATTCCCTTTCCAGAATTTTACATTAAGGAAATGATCTGCATTGTATACAAACCCAAAGTTATACGTATTCATCTCCATGGTAGTCTTGATAGTGAAAACTCTGAAACTAGCCAAATACACAATGCTAGAAGATTGGTTATAAATACATTAGAGGGACAATCATGCTTTTTAAAAATTGTAAATAGCATTAAGTCATAAGGAGGTTTCAATTACTAAGATTTTTTGGAGTAAAAGTCTATAGTCTTGTGGATATAATTGTATATATATTATATGAAATATAGTATGATTTTAAATTAACCTTCTAAAACATACTCCAAATTCTCCTGGAAATAATTATGAAATGAGCATCACACTTCATTATTAAAATACAAAAATGCCACTTCTAACGCACAAAACAGTGCACACCTAAAAGCCAAAATTGGAATTTTGGAATATGTTTCTCCTCTCCTCTTCCTAAAATTTCTCTCAGAAATTGTTCCCTAGGCTGTTATAGCTTTGAATCTTGTCTGGTCCCTTGATTTTCCCCACATGACACAAATTGTTCTATGGATCAAATGCTTTAAGGGGAAGCCTAGAGGTTGTGGTTTATGCTGAGTGGAACATGAAGAACCTACAGCTCTTCCTCTACTTCTTGTTTGTGAAACTTGCATTGCTCTCCTC